CAACATGTGGAACAACTGGAACAACAATACTGGGAACGGGACGGGGTTGTTGCTGACGTGATCGACTCAATAATTATTGCCAATCCAAATGACAGTAGCGATGACGAAGAGATTTCTTGTGAAGATGTTAAGTCTGAAGAAGCAACTGACTTTTCTGACTCCGAGCTCGTTCGGTCACTGTGAGGTAATTTCAAAGCTATACTCATTAGAACTTATGAAAGCCTTTTGTCTGTTGTTTCTTCAGTGATCAGTGGTTGTGGAACAAATACTTTTAGTTTATATCTTGCAGTTTATCGTCTGTGGATATCAGACGTCCGACACATCACAATACAACCTGATAATGAACATCAAAATGCATACTCCAAATCAAGATGAAGACTGAAAATTAAAAATCAATAAACGCAATGCACAAATGTACAATAGTTTTTAAAAATATATGAATTGATAAGCCTGATGATGATGTGGTAAACATCGAAACATGTCGTCGAAATCAAAAGCGCTGTGATAAATGTAATATTATACGACACAGAAAAGCCCCATAAAATATAACATAATGCAATTTATATTGTAAATTTTATAAATAATTTTAAACAACATTATTTTAAAACAAGTTTTGTATATAGACTGGAAAAATAAATATATGTATAAATACTTTTAGGTTGGCTAGTAGCAGCTCGTCACTCACCGCGAAATCTTGCGCATGCGCGTATATCGAATTCCTATCAGGGCTTTTCTCCTGATCTGTGGACTGTACACGACCTGCTGGACATGCGCATACTACGTCTCTGCTTCTCCCCCCTCTTCACAGTGTACCATCCCGCCCTTTCCCAAACAAAAAATAAACCACTGCTGTGCAAGCGCCTTCCGTCTGGAAAACAACTTCTGGAAATCCTGTTTTGTTTTCTAAATTTCGTTTCGGCGCCCAGGGAATGTCCTGTGACAGTGGTCATCCGACGCTACGTCTACCAGGCAATTTATAAACTTCTTTTACTTTTGTGTGTTTGGTTCTGGGGGGGGGGGGACGCCGTGCC